ACTGTTTCTTTCTTTCTTTCTTTCTTGTCACTCTTCAAAAATAATGTAATCATGGTTAATCGTGAATTGGAACTTAGCACTTTTCATCTTCATATTCATCAATCATACTATTAGGCTCTAAAGTCAATATTAAACGATTCCAATTTTCTATTTCACTTCACTTATCGTATATATCGATCTTAATCCACCGTGAACAATCAATGATTGTGTGATTGTGTAATTCAGTCCAAGGTAATCATTAGGAAATGAGAAATACTTATACCATAATGTTCATAAAAGTTGTTTTCAATGACTCAAGCACAACAAATAAATAAATCATATTGATGATAATATTTGAAATAAATTCTACAATTTATAATGATGTTGTGACGAATGGTAGTCGACTATGGTTAGTTAGCTATTCACTTGTCACTATGGGATTTTGTCAATCGACGAAAATCACAATATGAATTCATTGAAATTGAAAATATGAATTATTGGATACCAACTGAATGGTCTAAAGTTGATGCTTTGATTGTGAAATGAAAACGTTCTTGATTCAAACCTAGAAGAGATGTTCACTACTTAGATGTCTCAAATTAACAATAAAATGACTCATGATCTTAATCATTGAAATTACTACAATCTCCACAAAACCCCTTCTGATAATAATCAACATATGCTCACTAGTGACTGGCTTCAAGAGGTATATCCAGGAGTTCTAGTGAGAAGTAGTGACCAGTGGAGTTCAACCAGGTCTGTTGTGGGATAGTAACTCACTGAAGACAATGGTGGATGTGTCGCTGAATTTCGTGGATTAGTTGAAGTTAGACAATAACACCGTTGGATGCCGGTTAGTTCAGTGGTTTAGTGGTTAAGTGCTCGTGCGTGAAACCAATAGGTCCTGTGTTCGAATCTCGCATGAGGCGAGGTCGTGGATGCGCACTGCTGAGGAGTCCTATAATAGGACGAAACGGCCGTCCAGTTCTTCCAGGTTTTCCATGGTGGTCTAGCTTCAACTGACTCATGATCTTAATGATTGAAATCACTACAATCTCCACAAAACCCATTCTGATAATAATAAAATAACTGTTTTATTACACTTTAGTTTTCAATGATTGAATAGTTGGAGTCAATCAATGACATACAACATGCCCAAATAGTCAACATCAATCCATTTTGATAAATCTAGATTATAACATTCATGTAACAAGTAATAATGATGATTTATGAGTTTAATTTGTTCATCTAATTAAAACAATCCATTGTAACATAATCTGAATTATTTACATTTGATATGTAGAAAAACATATCTCATAAACTCATGTTGGTTATTTCAAGACATTGAATTTTATAAGTAGTTTGTAGATGAAGTACTACACAATGAATAACGAATAGATTACAATTAAACTTACTCTAATCCCATTACGTTCGATGTGAATAATGAACAAGGAACAAGTCAACTTCAGTGCCAGTTTTCTATGGAGTTGAGATTTGTTTTTAATTAGGAAGTGACTTAAGAAATTGGTAAAGCAGTCAATATAAATTAGAATACCATTGAAAAGTTGGAAATACTGGCTATCCATTTCATCCTGGTATAAAACTGCTCAGAAGTACTCACTCATGATACTACATCAAAAGCCCATCACTTAAGACCACTGCATTCATAATCAATTTCACTTTTCAATTCCTACCACTTCTACTAACTCGACTTCCAACGATAATCTTCCTCTTACCACTTACTCTTCAAATGTCATCATGGTCAATGATTATAGTAAGCAAAAAACACTGTCTCAAGTCTACTGAAGCCTCACTCCAATCTACACATTGAAGCCTTCAACATACGCACACTCATCTATCATTCTATCAATCAATCAATCAATCAATCAATCAACCAATCAATCAAGATATCATTATGACTGACTTGTAGACTTGTGCACAAATCTAATTTATTTATTCGGTATTTCAATCACCATCGTTTCTTTCAAAATGATCAAATTAATTTTCCAGTCACCTCATCACTTGAATACTCTATGGAGTATTTAATTTGTCAAAAGATACACACACACATACATACAGATGAATGGCAAGAAGAAACAAAACTACAGAAATGGAATGAACTAATCTTATTCACCAATGCTCTTTCCCTTTCCCACACACACACACACACACTACAATTATCTGGTCATCAGTACACCGAGGTTACGGTTTATTCAAATCCACATGCTCAGTTTATTTCCATTTTCATAGATTCATTACAATGTAAATTGTATTACAACTATATTGGAACTGTGAAGAGATACTTGACTTTGTGATGAAGTAGCGAAATAAGAGATAGAGAGAGATGGAGAGGTAATTAACTGAAGTCAATTGAAACTTGAAAGGAGAATTACAAAGTTCATTGATCAGTGAATGATGATTTGTTTTGATGTAGGTCAATGAGTGTAGATTACTAGCTGTTTGTCTTTACTCTCTTCACTTGATATACATTTCTACTATTTAAGTAGTATATAGTTTACTTGAATCTGTTCAATCTATGTTGATTACTATTCATCTCCTATGATTGCGTTTATTGTGAATGTACAATGTTTCCTGTGATTGGAATTGAAGAATGGAGATTATCATGATTTATAAAGAAGAATCAGATTGATGATCTTGGAAAATCAACAAAGCGAATTTGTTTTGTATTGTTTGTTTGAATGTTGTTATTGATGTTTGAGACTGTAAATGATCAGTCACTTATTGGCATATGAGTATTATGTGAGTATTGCATTCTTATTGACATCACTCATAATTAATATAAGAAGAAATTGGTGGCGATCAGTAAGTAGATAGATAGATAGATAGATAGATAGATAGATAGATAGATAGATAGATAGATAGATAGATAGATAGATAGATAGATAGATAGATAGATAGATAGATAGATAGATAGATAGATAGATAGATAGATAGATAGATAGATAGATAGATAGATAGATAGATAGATAGATAGATAGATAGATAGATAGATAGATAGATAGATAGATAGATAGATAGATAGATAGATAGATAGATAGATAGATAGATAGATAGATAGATAGATAGATAGATAGATAGATAGATAGATAGATAGATAGATAGATAGATAGATAGATAGATAGATAGATAGATAGATAGATAGATAGATAGATAGATAGATAGATAGATAGATAGATAGATAGATAGATAGATAGATAGATAGATAGATAGATAGATAGATAGATAGATAGATAGATAGATAGATAGATAGATAGATAGATAGATAGATAGATAGATAGATAGATAGATAGATAGATAGATAGATAGATAGATAGATAGATAGATAGATAGATAGATAGATAGATAGATAGATAGATAGATAGATAGATAGATAGATAGATAGATAGATAGATGTGTGGATAGATAGATAGATAGATAGATAGATAGATAGATACTCATTTCATCTTCCAATTTTCACTGAAAACCAATAAAGTTCATTGAACGTTATATTCGATAAGTCGAATTATCTTTCATGTTTTTCTTAAGGACATTATTAACCACAAAGTAGTATAAATAAAAGGTCAGAATAGATGGGAATGGGAAATGATTGTTGACTGCTTGATGATGTATATCATATAAAACGTAAATATCTTTATTAAATCAGTCAATGGAATTTGAATAGTAAAGTAATATGAACTATTTATAATGTTTTTATTTTAATAACTTGACCTTAAAACAATAAGAGATTAGATTATTCTTTGAAGATCATTTATATTAGTAAATATAGGTCATGATGTAATTATTCAGGTAATATGTATATAAGTAATATGTTTCAATATGGATATGAATGTATGAAATAGGTATTAAATGATGGAATTCATGAATCAATTGAAGTTAAACCACCATCGAAAACCTGAAAGCATTCGATGGCTGTTTCGTCCTAGTATGGGACTCCTCAGTGGTGCGCATCCACCCCTTTCTAATACTAAGCAGGGTATGCTCACTAGTGACAGTCTTTAAGAAGTATTTTATACAGTTCTAGTTAGAAGCCGTGACCAGTAGAGTTCAACCAGGTCTGTTGTAAGATATCAGCTCACTGAAGACAACGGTGACTGTAGCGCAACTTTGTGGATTGGTTGAAGTTAGACATTACCACTGTTGGATGCCGGCTCAGTGGTTTAGTTGGTTAAGCGCCTGGTGCGAGATTGAGAGGTCCTGGGTTCGAATCTCGCTTGCAGGATCATGTATGCGCACTGCTGAGGAGTCCCATACTAGAACGAAACGTCCCGCCAGTGTTTCCAGGTTTTCCATGGTGGTCTAGCTTCAATTGACTCTTGATTTCAACTATTGAAATAACAGTATTAGTATTTTGTCTAATCATGACAGTTCCTATATAGAAATTATTCATAAGAAATTTAAATACCTGTTACACTTCCGATTCACATGATTTCACAAACAAAGTTATTAAAATATTATAAGTGGATGAAATAGGTTAGATCATGCAATATAATAAAAAAATGATTCAACTATAACGAAAATATCAATAAACAAAGATGGATGGTGGTTAAAAATAGAACTCAAGACGCGTACCACGTTGTCCTATTTGGGACTCGTCATTTAGATGTACCTGTACCACATAGTCATTGTTCACTCTAGGACTTCAACCCAATACCGTTCGCATCAAACGCCATCATATTATCTATTTAACTACTAAGTCCAGATAACCACTAGCTTGTGAAATGGCGTGATGTTTTTTTTGAATCTTCACATTAATGTTTAGGTTTACAAATAATCAAACTCTTTTTACTAGCCATCACTCATGTTTGCTTATAATGCTTGTGATTTAAGACAATATCGCGGCAATCCTCATAGGATGCACCTATGTCGATAAGAGACTAATTAATTGCAGTCTTAAATATCAATCAGATGATTCAAACAAACAGTTCAAAATAAAGAGACCAATAGTCAAAATAATCGATTCATAATTAGCAATTGATCTCTATTAAAATGAAGTTACTCACCTTAACCCGAGGTTTAGTTCGTTTATTTTTTTCATTTGATTCAACATTGAACCCAGTATTTCCATGATTCAATTTCAACAGTTCAGGATCTTTGCAAAAAAGAAAAGCAATGTGATTGAGGACATAACATATTTTAAAAGATAACTCTCTAAAGAAAACTGATTTGTAAAATAAGAATTTCAATAATTGAGAACATAAGTCAATTAAAGCTAGATCACCATGGAAAACCTGAAAGTACTAGACGGCCGTTTCATCCTACTGTGAGACTCCTCAGCAATGCGCATACACGATCCCGCCTCGTGAGATTCAATCACACGACCTATCAGTCTGACGCGTTAGCGCGTAACCTCTAGACCACTGAGATGACCGGCATCCAACTGATCCACGAAATTGAGCCACCGTCCACCATTGTCTTCAGTGAGTTATTATCAGACAACAGACCTGGTTTGACTCCAATAGTCACTGCTTCTCACTAGAATTCCAGGAAATATCTATGTGGAGTTTTACAGTACGATAAAACAGCTGTCCAGTGCTTTCATGTTTTCCATGGTGGTCTAGCTTTCATTGCCTCCTGGTCTTAACTATGAAAACTACTATAATATCCACGAAACTCATTCTGATATTAAAATAAGAAATGATGAAAACCAGTTGTCGAGGAATTCAGTACAGTATTAGAGATCATAAACCATAATTTCTGTGGATTTTCAAATCAGTTTTCGGTAATACTTACAGTTATTTGTTTATGAACTTTGTTTGAATTTGATTTGAAGTTATTGTAGAAACATGTTGTAAATAAACAGAAATGGGTGTTGACTAGCGGTAGAATCCAAAACACTCATTTCATTCTATTTGGAATTTATCAGTTGAATATAATTACAACACACGGTTGATATTCAATCCGGGACTCCGACATTAATTCATGAGTCAATTAAAGCTAGACCACTATGGAAAACCTGGGAGCACTGGATAGTTCAAGTCCTGCGTGTCAGATCATGGATGCACACTACTGAAGAGTCCTATACTAAGACAAAACGGCTGTCCAGTTGTTCCGGTTGTTCCAGCTATTCCATAATGGTTTAGCTTTAATCGATTCATCAATTCAACTATTAAAAATTACTACAATCTCCATAAAACCCCATTCTGATAATATTATCATTGTTTTTATGAGATTTAGATTCCATATAAGAAGACGAAAATTGAACTCTGTCCCATCGCTATTCTTCAAGGAATTTAAAAATTCCTGTTTCTGAAATAAACTATGTACAGAGCTTCATTTAATTCGAAAATGGGTGAATCTTCTTTAATATGCAAGTTTTCTTTTCCTGAAAGAACAACTCTATGTTCTTCACAAATGACTTTACCAGCATGTTCTCATAACAAGCCATCAATTCACTGTGGAATTTGATGAAAAATAGTTGATTATATTGAAAGACGAATAATATTACTAATAGTTAATAAAGTTTACTAAAGGATTCTTAATTGCGTTTAAACAATCCACATTCAAAATCTTCCTCATAAGCTACATAAACCTATTTTCTCGATTGTCACAAAATATGATGATTATGTTCACTGATGACTGGTTTCAAGAGGTATTTCCTCCAATTCTAGTAAGAATCCGTGATCAGTGTAGTTCAGTATGTTCTGTTGTGATATAGTAACTCATCGAAAACAATGTTGGACGGTGACGCGGTTTCGTGGACTGGTTGAAGTTAGACATTAAAACCGTTGGATTTCTCTTAGTGGTTTCGTGATTAAGCGTTCCCATGTGACACCGAACTTCTTGGGTTTAAATCCCGCTTGTGGGACTGTGTATGCGCACTACTGAAAAGTCTTGTACTAGGAGAAAACGGCCGTTCAGTGATTCCAGGTTTCAATGGTGGCCTAAAATCAATTGGTTCATGATTTAAATCAATAATTTAATAATCTCCACAACCTCTATACTGATAATTATCATGTGTTCACTGCTGACTAGCTTCGTGAGAAAATTCTCGGAGTTCTAGAGAGAAACCGTGATCAGTGGAGCTAACCTGTATCTACCTCAGTAAAATGGAAGATGGTCGCGCAATTTCGTGGATTGGTTGAGGTCAAACATTAACAACATTAGATGCCGACTCAGTGGTTCAGTAGGTTAAGCGTTCGTGCGCTAGACTGGAGGTTCTGAGCTGGAATCCCGCGAGCGGGATCGTGGATGCGCACTACCGGGGAGTCCCACAATAGGACGAATCGGCCGTCCAGTGATTCTAGGTTTTCAATTGTGGTCTAACATCAATCGGTTCATGATCTCAATCAAAAACTAATAGTTGAATTGATGAATCAATTAAAGCTAGATCATTATGGAAAACCTGAAAGTTTCACTGGATGGCCATTTCGTCATAGTATGAGACTTCTCAATAGTGTGAATCTACGATCCCACCTCGCGAGATTAAAACCCAGGATCTATCGGGTTCACGCGTGAACACTTTACCTCTAAACCACTGAGCTAGCCGGCATCCAATGGTGCTAATATTTAACTTTAACTAATCCACGAAGATACGCCACCGTCTACTATTGTCATCAATGAGTTAATATCTCATAACAGACCTGAATGATCTGCACTAGTCACTGTTTCTCACTAGAACTATAGAAACTACCTATTGAAGCCAATCACTAGGTCCTGGGTTCTAATCTCACGAGAAAGATCAAGGATGAGCACCGCTGAGGAGTCCTGTGCTGGGACGAAACATTCGTCCAGTGATTTCATGTCTTCCATAATGATCTAACTTCAATTGACTCATGAATTCAACTAATAAATTACTATAATATCCACAAAAACTCCTTCTCAGATAAATATCTATTGAACATTCTAATTTTATTCGAACCTTTTGATGTTATCTTTTAATTCGGATACAACTTGAAAAAAAATTAGAAACCAAATAGATAAATTAATCCTTTTCTTTATTTCGTTTTATTTATTTTAAAGGAAATAAGATTAGAATACTAGTTAAGGCTTAATTTATTCATTGACCAGCTTGTTTGTTTGTTTGTTTACACAATCAAGATGTTGTTTTGTATTCATTAAATTTCCATAATTGAACTTCATTGACTAGAAGAAAGCATTCGATAGTAAGAACAGGACAACACTATGAAGGTTTCTTCGACACTACGATGTGTCTGAGAAGATAGTCAATATCATATGGAATTCCTATGATGGATTAAACTTCAAAATCATGCATGGAGGACAGCTAACAGACTCGTTCGAGGTAAAGACCTGAGTCAGGCAAGGTTGCTTACTCTCACCCTTTCTCTTTCTCCAGTTGATCGATTGGATCATGAAGACGTCAACACCTGGGGGGGAGCATAAGGTACAGTGAACAGCTAGCATGCAGCTGGACAATCTAAACTTCGCAGATGATCTGGCTCTTCTATCGCACACGCAGCAACAAATGCAGGAGAACACGACCAGTGTAGCAGCAACCTCAGCAGCAATAGGTCTCAATATACACATAGAAAAAAACAAGAGTTTCCGATACAACACAACATGCACCGATCGAATCACACTTGATGGAGAAGCTTTCGAGGATGTAAAAATTTTTACATATCTGGGCAGTATCATTGATGGACACGGTGGATCTGATGCAGATATGAAGACGTGGATCGGCAGAGTAAGGGCAGCATATTTGCAACTGAAGAACATCTGAAACTCAAAACAACTGTCTGTTAACCAACAACAGTGTCAGAATTTTCAATACAAATGTAGAGACAGTTCTACTGTATGTGGTGGAAACCTGTGGAACTAAGAAAGCTGTCATCCACAAGATACAAATGTTTATTAACAGTTGTCTACGCAAAATACTTCAGATCCGTTGATCAGACACTACCAGCAACAGCCTTCTATGGAAGAGGAAAAACCAGATCCCAGAGGAGGAAGAAATCATGAAGAAGCGGTTGAAGTGGACAGAACACATTGAGGAAAACACCCAACTGTGTGTCCCAAAGCGATCCCTCAACTGGAATTCTCAAAGTCAAAGGAGAAAAGGAAGACGACCAATGAAGAACACATTACGTCGAAAAATGGAGCCAGACATAAGACAAATGAAAAAAAATTGGATAGAACTGGAAAGGAATGCCCGAGAACAGAGTGGGTTGGAGAATGCTGGTCGGTAGCCTATGCTCCATTGGGAGTAACAGGCGCAAGTAAAATAAGTAAGTAGGTAAATTTCCATATTTAAATGTTACGCTTTTGTATGCACGAATGAAATTGATTAAATAGTCCATTTATTTACCAATTGTTCATCTTGTACTATCAAGTTGAAAATGTGTAAGGTGACGAATATAAATTGGGTCGTTTTATTGTATAAAGGATACTCTAAGATAAAGACTGTTCAGGTTTTGGTTTCATATATGTTTTGATTTTTGGTATTTGTAAGCATTCAGTCGATAATCATGGATTAGAGATTTCGATTTTTGATGATATTAAACAAGTCCTACTTGGATTCTCTATGGAACTAAATGAAGCATCTATTTACTACTCTTCAATTTCTTACAATAATGTCAGATCGTAATTTAAAAAGTACAAATATCGATAAATCATTCAAACGACAGTTATATCTATGAAGCTTGATGTGTCAGTTATGAATAATTTTAATCAGAGAAAGGTTTTATGGACATTATAGCAATTTACTAGTTGAATTCATGAGCCAATTATAGGTAGACTACCATGAAAAACGTGAAATCACTGGACAGCCGTTTTAATCAAGTATGGGACCCACCAGCAATGCGCATTCACGATCCTGCCTCGCGAAATTCGAACACAGGACCTATCAGACTCGAGCGAACACTTAACCTCTAGACCACTAAGCCGGCTAGCATCGAACGGTGTTAATATCTAATTTCAACCAATCCATGAAATTGAGTTACTATCTCACAACAGACCTCGTTGAACTCCATTGGTCATTACTTCTCACTAAAACTGCAGATCCTTGGTTCTAATCTCGCGATCGCGATCATAGATGCTCAAAGCTGAGAAGTTCCATACTTAGACAAAATGACCATCCAGTGTTTCTAGGCTTTCCATATTGATCTAACTTTAATTGACTCATGAATTCAACTA